GCTTCTGTTGGTAGGAAGGGCCAGGGCGAATCACCCTCCGTCCACCAGGGTTATTCCGCGGGTACACCACTACCATCCATTTTAGGGGGTTGTACCCTCGTCCCTTCCCTCCGGTCACCAAGGGATCCGGCAACAATCCCCCTCCCAGTTGTAGATTAGGGAATTCTTTTGCGAGGCCCGGCGTTTCTCCCGAAAAGAGCATGGGATCTGTCTGAACCCCTCTTTCCTTAAATCTTGCTAGTTCTCCGTCAGTTGACAGTCTAAAATGTTCGCGCTTTCACTCTCTTTTATGTCCTCCCACATGATCAGGTCTAGCTCCACCCCTTCTTCGTTGGCCAGACAGACTTCGGTGGACCTTCCAGCCCCTCCTTCTGTTGGTTCTATTTCAATCAAAATACCCTCCACGCAACTACTGCCTTCTACGATGTTTCCTTTCATAGAGGACGGCGCACTTTCCTCCACTCCTTTACAGATTCCATCATGGCTAATGGAAAGGTACAGGTCCCACTAGACTGTAATCCAAAACATTCCGAGGAACAAAAGTTCCTCGCCTCTTGTTTCTTTAGTAGCTTCCTCAGTTCATCATATCAACCACCCCAGCACCTTGCTTGACATGTTGGCAGCCTTCCTAATCTGTGATACAAAATCTTGCTGAATTTCTATTATTGAAAACTAGAATAGCTCTCCAGCACTATGAAGAGATTTGAGACTCTTGACCACTCCTTTCAGCTTCCTTTTAACTTGTCTCATAATTCTTGGGAAATTTCCTCTTTTGAAATCACATGCAACTGTGTTGTACTTATTTGACAGCTTTCCAGCTTTTTTCTGTATGTCATGATTGGCAACACTATGGTCGTAGTTCCATTTGGTCCACCACCTTTCATAAGGTTTTGAGAACAACTCAGAATTAACTCCCTCTTTAGGGTAGGGATTGACAACACACATCCCCGTGGGTGCTTCTGCAGATCTCTCATGATCTCACCCTCACTTCCTCCCACCATTGTATCTGTTGCCACAATAGCAGCGGCAAAAATCCAGTTTTTACTTTTGTAAAAAGTAAAATCATGCTGCTGGAAAAACAAGACTCTTTGTAATCAAGGCTTATGGACTTTGTGCACCTAGTTTTAAAGGAAAATGTTTTACCCCACTCCTACTGGAACAATTTCAGTGACAGTGGAGAGGGTGGCTTTCGGTAGGTGAAGAAGTACCGGGGGGCCCATCCTTGATTTAAGGTACCTAGAAATGTTGTCTCCTTGTTGTGACCAAAGCATACAACTGACACTCATTCAGTTGATGAGACATTATACAAAACTTGGCTGACTCCCTGATTTCTTTGTGTATCTCACAATCACCCTTAAATTTACACTGGTAGGAGACAGATAATAACCAGTGTCCAGCCTGGCGTCAGTGGGTGGCATCCCTGGGAAGCCCC